ATTATTATTATTATTATTATTATTATTATTATTATTATTATTATTAGTACCGTTTCAGTTGTTAGTTGTTAGTATTATCAAATTGCTTCGGCGTAGATGAGAGACAATACCAGTGGCCTTCTGGATATCTTTCTTTTTATCTAAAAAATCGTCCAGCTGTAGCACCCTTTCGGTGTCTAGCTGCCATGCCACAAGAAGCAGGCACGAGGGCTTGCCCAGATACCCAAGCCTAGGCGGTGGAAGTCGAGTGGCAGAGGTCGGGTTCGAACCACGGACCTTCTGGTCAGTAAATTCATGCTCTAACCACTTGGTCCACCTCGCCCCTTTTTATCTGCTCATTTTCAACCCTCCATGTTTAAAAAGACAACTACTCGTGCAGAGTTATGGTCAAGTTGGAAGTCTCATATTGTAATGTTATACTTGCAACTATCTGCTTGGAATTTTCTGTTTCGATACTAGTGAGAAGTAAACTTTTTAAAGAAACGAATGTCCTCGGGGTTTTATCGGTTGTGGTGGTTGATGGTGCGCGTAAGGGAATTCCTGTTTTCTCATTTTCCTCAGTGTATTTTTCCTATTAATTCGTATGTCTATTCGCTCCTTAGTTTAGACCACATATGTGTCCGTGACGGCTATTTTTTCAGTAACAGGATCAATGAGCGCTTGCAGCTAATTCCCAACTTCTGATTTTCTTTGGTTTTAGGATTACCCGATCGGATGGCGTGGTCGCTTGTCCTTGAAGAACGAAGAAGTTTTTGTTCATATGCATTATCTTTCTGGTAATCAAGGTTTATTGAAAGACTGTATGGGCGTTATATCAGAGCAGAATTCGTCTCCCTCTGAACAGGACGTGTCCACTTTACCATTGCTGAGAATCGTCCAAAGAATGCGCTTAGACCCTTCCCAACTGGACGGAGTACAGCGTAAATTGCGTCAAGTGAATGATTTCTGTATGTGTTTAACACTGGCTGCAGCGTCACCGATGACCCCCGAGTCCTCAGCTGTGGGAGAAACGATACGCATGAATCAAGTACTTTGCGACAACTTCATCAAGTACATGGTCGACAAATGCGCAGCTGGAATAGTAAATGTTTGTAATCCTTTCACAAACCAGGTGGGTACATTATGCACTCAGTTTCACAAACCTGAACTCACCACGAGTGTACCGGTTTTTTTGTGAACCATTAGTCCTAATGCTTGGATGGCAGTTGACATCATTTACCTGTGATGTGTTGCAGTCCCTAGGTTGAGTGTGTTGAGTCCCTAGGTTGGAGCGGGTGATACCGCACATAAACAGCGTACAGGTTGTACAGGATCTCAAACTTACTATTGTATTAAATTATTATCTAACCGGTATCACCCGGAATATCTGAATCGACTTTGATTACTGCCCCTACAATATCATCTTCATTTTCTCACTGGTGATATGCTTTTGGCCTCATTCCAATCTATGGTATCACATGTTTATTCTTTTATTAAGATAAACAGCGGCCGTTGTTTCTTTCTCCTGTAGGAAGCATTATTTAGCTAAGATATATGTTGTTAGTAAGGGCGATCGGCAGTTGAACTTTGCGTGGGATCGCATTTCAAATGCATAAATAAAGATTTTAAGTTGTGGGATGGTTGACTGAGGTGATCCTCTTGACCTATTTAATACTGATCTGCATCACCTGGGACATTTAGGAAACGGAAAAACGCTCTAGTCAGACCATTATTGCACTCCCACGTACTTTTTCCCTCCCACACCACAACCCACTATGAGCGCTGTCTCTGCTTGTTCCAGTACTAGGACTGATAGCCTTATTCACCTTGAATCACCCTCGGTGAAAAATTCTGATCGTCCGTCTCCCCTGATAGCTCTAAATACCTCGAAACCAACTACCAAACTCCGAAAGCCGTTCTACTTAGTTTGCCCTCTGAAGTGAGCAGGTGACAAAGCTGCTCTTGCTCTTACGTTATAGTTACAGTGTACCGTCGGAAGCAAGGACCCAGGACGTGAGTATTGTAGTGACTTCCCTTGTCGCTCTCTTCCTGCTTTCGGTTGTACACTTTGGTGGCACAGAGACCACACCATTCAGAAACGCCAGGGTGGGTATTGTGTCGAACCATCCAGTGGAGGACTCTGTTTGACTGATTACCCATCGTCTCTCGTCACGAAGAAACAGGACGTTAGGGCGATGTACCGGTTCGTACACCACATTTCATTGAGCTATACTGCAGAGGTACGTGTGGCACTCATGAAATCGCTGATAGCAGATTGGTTACTGGGCGTGGATATGACTAACATGGTCTATTGGTTTTCCAAGTTCGAGGTCGTAGCACGTGTGGCGCCTTGCTCCTTGAAGATGTAGACTGCTCCGGGGAGTTTTCAACAACTACTGCTGCCTTGCGCTCAAACATTTGGACCAGAGGCTTTGGTTGACGACCCTAATCATCTGTATAGGCTTTGTGTCGAACCATCCAGTGGAGGACTCTGTTTGACTGATTACCCATCGTCTCTCGTCACGAAGAAACAGGACGTTAGGGCGATGTACCGGTTCGTACACCACATTTCATTGAGCTATACTGCAGAGGTACGTGTGGCACTCATGAAATCGCTGATAGCAGATTGGTTACTGGGCGTGGATATGACTAACATGGTCTATTGGTTTTCCAAGTTCGAGGTCGTAGCACGTGTGGCGCCTTGCTCCTTGAAGATGTAGACTGCTCCGGGGAGTTTTCAACAACTACTGCTGCCTTGCGCTCAAACATTTGGACCAGAGGCTTTGGTTGACGACCCTAATCATCCCTCTGTATAGGCTTGGGCAGTATCCCACCCCAGGTGCAACCATCAGATAATCTCTTGCTACATTCCAGCTACCGCTGAAGCCTCCCTTCTTCCGCTCACGTATTTGTTCTTCTCTCGTCACCGAGTTGCTAGCATCATCTTCATAAGTGAATTCTCAAGTACATAAATATGTTTGCTGCCCGTTGACGTTAGCTCCCGTGTCCACGGTTAACTCGGCCGGAATCGCTCTTCAAGCCCTGTCACCAGTTTCGTCTGACAGCCTTTAACGTTTTACTTTGAAATAAACTGGACAACAGACCACTCTTCTTAATAGATCCGGTACTCTTTCTTTGGGTGTGTTGTTCCCGTGAAACTAGGGTGTAAGAACCAAGTGCGGCAGTTGAATTGACCTTCCTATTGATTTCCTCTCACTGCGCGCTTTTGACGACCGAGACACCTCTGTAACTGGACAAGGGGGAGCGTTTACTTATTTTTTTCGCTTCAGTAGATTGCGCTTTTGACGACCGAGACACCTCTGTAACTGGACAAGGGGGAGCGTTTACTTATTTTTTTTTGCTGTCAGTAGATTGTCTCTACTTCAACAACTTCCGGGACAGTGGATGTCTTTTGCCTACGTGGGGCTCAGCAACTAACCAGCCTGAACCCAGGTATACCACGTTGATGTCAGTTACCTTTGGCGGCGATCGACTGCTGCCCATAGATCTTTCCGGAACAGGAAAGATCCTGCGAATTCCGACCAGGTACTTGCCCGGTTTGCGCAAAGTCCTCACCTTACTTGGTTCTTGAGAATCACGTGTACTCAGAAATCAACCATAGTAGAATCACCTCCAAAGCCTTCGTGCTGCTGCGGTTTCAAATATAACGTTCGCAGGATCAATGTATCCAACGCTGTACTGTGGTATACCTAGCCGATCGAGTTTATCGACCTTTAACAACCGTGGCAGTGAGGTGTCAGTGTTAGCATTCATGTTGTTATCTCTGGCGACGTCAGTTTGTCTGTCAAACGGTATAGTATACGCCTTATAGATCAAAAACGTGGTCTCTGCACTGAGGGGATGTACGGAAATTATCGGACCCCAACGCATTGGTAGGACCCGGTGGGAACATCAGATGAGCAGTGTTGAAGTACTCGAGTCGATTTTAGAGGAAACCCTCCCATAATAGATGTGCTACTCACGCTCCATAGATGACACTGGGTGATGTAGGTCTCATGTTAAAGTCGTCCACCTCCCAAGACTCTTCGCACAGATTTCGGCTGAGCGATGGACATTCTGAATCCTGCAACCAAGTATGAAAGCACTAATCAGTATACGCAGTCAGACTGACAACTATCGCCTCCATGGATAGAAGCCCCGAGACTCAACCCACCGATGGTAAATGACGCGACAGACATGGTTCAATCACGCAGTCAGTGGTGCTCTTTTTTCGGAGCTCTTTCAGTACACAGCTGTCCAGCTTTCCATTTATCCAAAAAACTAGGCTAGTTCAACACCAACTAACTGAATAATTCATCGCTTCCAACGCCCATATATATATATATATATATATGCTGCCCCACTTTCCGGTGACTGGAACTGTAGAAGCTGGAACCGATGTGCATGGTTTATAAATGATAACCTGGATGAATACTGGCTGTACCAGAAAACCTTCCAACCGCCAATGAACAGTATCCCTCAAAGGACATACTATCAGTCGAACCTACTGGAAGTGTTTCACGCACTTGTCGTCGTTCACACCATTGGGTTCGGTCAACTGCCCTGATCAGTTACTCGAAAGATCTACCTGATGAAAGTGCCCGGAGTCACTTGCGCTGTCCCACTTCAGTGGGAATTGTTAAAGATGGTTGAATGCCGGTTTGCATCTAAGCTTTTACAGGTAATCGTTGGGAAAAGCCGTATTATCTGTCGCAGCAACTACCAGCTGAGGATCCAGGTGTTGTCTCTGGTATGAAGTGGGATGTTAACTGCCATCTACCATAGAGGCTTACAATTGGTTTTAGGATGGAAAGTCTGTATATGCTCCTTAATCAGTAAAACTGGCTTCAGCTTATCATCACAAATCGTATCATTCGGATTTATTTGCAATGGAACCACCTCTGTGATAATTCGATAGTCTTTTCTCTGTCATTTTATGAAGCATTCACTTATAGCTTTGCGTACATTGTTCTCTTCGGAACTGTCGGTGTAGGTTATTTCTTATTGATACCATCACTCAGTGGTCGATACTTTTCCCAGGTTCCCATAAAGAGGAAAATATTTCAGTATCTTGAATGTCACCTTACCTAAACCCTCAGGCAGTATGTGTCGCATGTTTAGATAAACACAACACACCCATTCGATATCCTTCTGATTATCACTTTCATACCAACACAATTTGCGGTTGCTATGGTGAACGGTATCACTGTTTATCGGGCCCTTTGTAGCACCACGGATTTCGCTTCTCCCCTGTGATTGCACACCGTCTAAAAATAATGTTTTCAAATTGATAGGATTTAGTAGTCTCATCCTTTGATTCTTCATGACTGATACACTTTCCGGTTTTCCCCACAGAACCTCTATGTGATACACATATTCCCACCATGCGACTTTGCTCGTTGTCAGTTGGAAGGAATTTCGCCCGCTCTACACCGCCAGTTAACCCAAACAGCTACACCTTATCTGTTGGTTGTAATTACAACCGTGTGACCTATGCATTTATTCCCGATATTTGCGCCGTTTACGAATATCATGAGCTCCCCGATACATATGGCTGTTTTATGGAGTGCGACTCTCCCTGCTACAGACTGTTTCATAACCTCAGGTTCAGATCTGTCGGTTTAGCACCTTCAGAATGCACTGTCAGTCGAATTTGTTGATACTTTTACGAACCGTAATTCGATCCTGATGACATGGGTCTGTTTTAACATGAGTGCTGGTGCATGTCACGGCATTTCTGGTCGTTATTCATAGGTATAAGTTCTTATTACCGCTTACTGTTGCATACATGTGATACGATCTGTCGAGGCTACTGGGCTGTGATTATTTTTTAATACATGAAAACTACTGTGCCTTGTGTATATAGCACGGAAAGTTCCCGCGTTTTTTCGACTGTACAATTGAGCTTTGTTTTATCTATACCCTGTACATACTCGTTTAATGCCGATACTTGTTAATGTCTCCCCTAACCGTATGTGTACATATTTGAATAGCCGGACTAGTCAGGTTGTTTTATGTCATACACTTTGGATTTCAGCCTGACTTTTCTGTACTTGGTATGCATTACGGGTTGGACATTTCACTCTGTCAAACTGGCGAGGATTCTCTCTTTATTTACGATGAAACCGGATTAGGGGGGATTGGGGAATTTAGTCTTATTTGGCGTTTTTTGGTAAAACAGTACTTATTGGTGTTTATTTATTCCCAGAAGGCTCGGGCATTCTGTGGAATTAGTTTCCGATCAACCTTTGTTTTGAACAAGTGCTTTGGTGGGCCCTATTCAGAACACTTTCTAGAGTTGCTCTTGGAAATTCATTGGAGTTCGATGCCTTGTGAAGTCTTAATAGAGCACATCCTTTGTTGGAGATGCCACTAACAATTTGATGCCGGAGACACGGCGCTTCAGTGTCCAATATCTCGTCGTCTGAGGGCAGATACTTGCCGGTCCTTCTGATGGGCTCCCTTCTGGAGGTTCACTTTTCTTCCGCTAATGGGTTGTAGTTGGCCTGATGCTTTCTAATAGTAGTGTAACGGTGATACTACTGGTTAGGGAGGCACGCGAGTAGTATATGTTGTTCGTAGAATTTCGCTTTGCGTCGATTGAAAAAGGGAATTCTGTTGCGGAATTCGTGGGGCCACTTTGTAACATTTGCTTGGATTTGACCGACGAATGAGTGGTGGCAATGAATCTCTAGGAAGACTCGTTCGGGAGAAGATCTGTGTCCAGTTTTTGTAACTAAGATGCAGATTAGTTTTGCTCCCCTGTCCAATGCTCTGTAACCGGTCAGCTGGCATTTCCGAATGAATAACTCCGCAGCGAAGGCCTTCTTCCTTTCAGTAGTACTCGAGTTTGGTAACCTGGTGTTGACGAAACTAGCTGTTAGTTTTCCATGGTCAAGAGTTCAGTGTCTGGTAGAGCTGTCCACGAAACGCCTCCGTCGGCCCTGATGGCTGGGGGTTCACTGCTACGGCCACCCCGTTGTAAATAATTGTTGTTCGCTGTTTTTAAGTACGGATGAGAAATACCCAGCGATGCCACCGTTTACTATGCGTTCATTTCCAGAGCAGGTGACCCGCCCACCACTATCTTAATAGTTTTCCGTCTCCGCTTAGACTGCTTTCAGGTTGTCGGTAGTCAGCAGGGAATGAATGGTGTTGAGTGCTTTTGGTTCTTGCAGCTCACGCGGAATCCAGTATTTTGCTAATGGACACCAAATACAGTGAAGGCCCGGTGGACTGACAGATCTAACACTCACATATCTGCGCTTTTTCCGTAGTTGAAAAGCCTGGTGTAGATGGGCGTGCTAGAATGATTTTTAGCTACCATCTATCCGAAGAAATCTGGCGAATGAGGAAATCACTTTTGAAACTAATGAGAACCGGTGGTTTATGTTTGGATTGGGGATATTGCACAGGATAGCGATCTTGTTATGTTTGCGCCCTCTAAAGACTTGAAAAGTCCTTTTTGTGGTACTTGTACTTTGTTGCCGTCTGTCAGCCCAACTGGAGGTGTCGGCCCACCGCTCGTTCAAAAACCTTGAGTCTTTCAGGGACAACAGCCTCTCGGATCACACGGGATCCTTCGAAAGTAGCATTATACGCGCACTCCAGAGGCAGCCGAGGCCATCTGCGTGAAAGCAACCCTAACTTTTGCATGCAGATGAGGTGGGCTAGGACACTTCGGTCGAATGCGTCTTGAAATCAGGACATGGCTGATTGATGGGGTTGTACGATAGCCGATAAGAGTAATTTGTTCTTCGCTGGACCCATACATTTGAATGAGACCAAGTGGTTTTTGTGTGTCTCTGTATCTCTAGTGCTTGAATATGATGTGTAATGGGCCGGCCGAGAACAGTTGTTCGCATCTCCTTCGTTTGTGCCCGATGAGAATATGGCTATTTTCAGGACAGTCGAAGTAAACAAAATAGGACATTTCATATTAAACGTAGTGATTTCAGTCGGTGAAACAAACAGGGAAATTATTTTCGATAAGCATGCGGGAACGAATTATGGGCTTCTGGAAATGTAAAGGACCAGTTCGCGCATGGAATAGATCTTCCGTAGTAAACTGAGAATTCAGCAGTAGTGGGTGTCACCACTAGGTGTATTATCAGAGTGCGATGGTGATCGGGTGGTCGTCAACCGTCTGAATATAAACTGGTCGCATCAGAAGTATTGGTATAATTGGACTGTGTTACTCATCTTCGGATAAGCTGGCTACTTAAAGCAGTCCATGATATTCTCTCTAACTGGGCTTCAATGGTGGAAAATTGGTTCCGGAGGAAACCCCTCGTCCGCGAAACGTACACAGGTGATGTAGACGAGAAAACCAACGCCACCGATTTCCCCCAATCAAGAGCTCTGAGCTCCGTGTCGTTTCCTAATCAAACATTCATAGATGTTGGCGGTTTCGTCGCTGACTTCTTGGAAATAGGTGCGTAAATTCTCAGAGGACGTACCGTGTACCTAAATGTCGCTTTTCTCCGCGAATTTCACCTTCGGGATCCGCACCTGCCAGAGCAAGGCCGGAGTACACATCAACTTATCTGGTAACTGCCGGCTACTTGTGAGTAGTGAAATATGTAAAGAAGCATGAGTTGCACTTTGATGCACCGAGCCGGGTTTTTTTGCGCTTGGATACCCGGCTAATCGATGGCACTGTATTCGCCTTTACCGATATGCCGGCCGGTTCTGGCTGGCATACCAACACATGCGAGTTTTTTATAATATCCCTGTAACAGGTATGTTGTGCCGTTGTGTTCGGTTACACGGCTTCAGCGACCATTCACTAAAAAACAACTTTCCATATGTGGAAAATCTAATCTACACCCTACACGCAACCGCCTATCTTTCTTGTATGACACGAACACCCGCCAGTTGGACGGTCATAAGTGCTGTCTCCTCCCACAGCCCTTCTGCTCGGGGAATCCAATAATTTTCCGCCATCCCTGCTTCAGGATGGGCTTTTATCTTTTTCAATTGTGGCGGAATATTGACAAACACGTCAAAACTTACCGAACTAAATACCTTGAAAAGTGCCAACGGTTGCGCACCGGTGCAACGCATGCCACCAATTTATACTCTGATAAAGGCAATGTCAGGTTGCTTTGCCCCCGCATCTTTTAGGTTGGTGAGCAGTAGTCGACCTAAGGCACCGTAAAGTCATTCGGCGATAAGCATTGAACAGGCGACTGGTTCCAACTTTCCTACATTTGTAGTCTGAGGACACCATCCAGTGTGACTGTTAAGATGTGTGGTGCATTATCACTCAGAGGTGGAGCTTTCGCACAAGGTGTTTTGATGCTCGTAATACCCGAATCTCATGCTTTGACGTCCTATAGATCGACTAAATGGTGCTTAGTGTTAGGCAGAATTCTACGCCAAAAACACCCTACTGAGCAATTAGGCGCTGCAGCGGTCAGTAAGCCTAGCTCGGAGGTGATTGGTCGGAAAATCATCCTGCTTGCCCGTCCGACAACTTAGCCCAGTTCGCTCCTTGTGTTTTTACTAAACAACTCATTTGATCCCCATGCGGAGTGCTGAATTAAAGTATTGTTGACTTTGAAAGAAAACACTGCTACACTGACACCATTTGTGGTAGCCTTTGTCAGGAGATCCTTCTGGACATTGAAGGAGAGCCAGACACCATCGAGTAGAAGGCGACAAAATCAACTTGAAACGGAGCCAGTGCAATCATACCATCGGCCGATACTGTAGATCGTAGTTACTCGGTGGCTTTGGTTCGAAATAACCGTTCACCTGATTGGCTTCTGAACGGCGCAACGTGGCAGTGTGCAATGCAAAAAAAATAGTCTAGCTGTAACACCCTTCCGGTGCCTAGCTGCCATGCTACCCGAAGGAAGCACGAGGGCCGGGATACTGTCAGGTTGCCCAAGCCTAGATAGGGGAAGTCGAGTGGCAGAGGTGGGGTTCGAACCACGGACCTTCCGGTCAGTAAATTTCCGCTCTATCCACTTCAGCCGTCTTGCAAAGTGGCGGCAACAATTTTCGAGCGACCAACGGTGAAATACTCTTGAGTAATTTGTCGAAGAACTTTGGTATACAGGAGTTTTATGACTAACATACGACCACAAAGTGCCAGGCATCTGTATCTCTCAGTACATATTTTTCTTTCCAAAATATACTGAATGGTGGTCGGCTGCACAGATCCGCTTTTCTGCATCTAGCGCCTGATGCACTGCTGTGATTGATAGTTGAGGGTTAGTGGCTTGGAATGTGCATACATTCGATTTATAAGTTCGCAGTAATGGCGGACACACTAGTCTTCATCCAGTTTTTTCGGTGCATTTCGCAAGTAAGGGTGGAACTGTTTTTGAATACCCAAAAGGGAGTGTTTTTAGATCACGTTCCAAAATCAAACAATAGTAGCATTGTGGCTTATCTCCGAGAATGATTGCAGTGTGGCTGTTGTCAGAATGCAGGATTATTATTTTCAGGAAATGAGGCCAGTTTGAGCTGTTGAAGTATCGCGCGAAATCTTTTGACTTTTAACCCTAGTGCAGGTCGGTCGTTCGCAATTTGAGCGTAGTTGTACTAAGTCTTGATCAAAGCTGACGTCATTTCCTTTTGAGACCTACTCGGAAAACCACTGAACAAAGTTCCATTTTGTGTGGCACCACCGCCAAGTCTTGATCAAAGCTGACGTCATTTCCTTTTGAGACCTACTCGGAAAACCACTGAACAAAGTTCCATTTTGTGTGGCACTCACCGCCAAGCTTATGGGGACTGTACGGTCATAATCAATGAGCAAAAAAGCTGGGGCTGCAAAATGTTTTTCCCTTAAACTGTCTGAAACTTTGTGAGTGAAAGCACTTTGCTTCCCCTCAAGGAAGTGTGTTGCTCAGAGCTGAAAACAACGACGGAATTGATGTCGGTTCCACCTAGTGAAAGGAAGAAGGCCTTCGCTGCAGTCAACTGACCAGTGGCAGACTATTGGACAGGGAAGCAAAACTATCATATGCATCTTATTTACAAAAACTGGACATTTA